GTAAAATTTATGTATTTCATTTACGTAAATTTTACTAATTTTGACCCAAAAATACGTATAATTTTCGAATTATTTTCGAAATTTGGTAAATAGGGCTATGGTTTCCCTGCGGCTTAAAACTTGTTATTTCTGATTAAATTAGTGAATAAGCCACTGGATTCAAGGCATAAAACTTGAACCGTGAAATTGTCATATTTCAAGAATTTCAAGTCGTCTCTCTACAGTTTCATCCTTTGTGGGTAAGTCTGCACTCCGTCGAGACGACTTGTAGACAATAATACCCTGCACATTTTTTCCTACTTTAAGTGATGGTTCCCCGCAAACTTTTCAGCACAATTTAAAAGATAGAAAAGTAATCTTTGGATCTGCAGGGAGTTTGAGGTCGGCATTGATATCTCATCCATTGTGGGTTAACCTGTGTCCCTGGTTAACAAGATTTTTATCAAATTTGTGGTAAAACTGTTCGCACTTTTTGAGAAAACTTTCTTCGTTTATTCACAAGAAGCTCGACTTTCTGAAGTACAAAATCAATTTAAGCTTAGGTCCGTTCATATGACTTCTTATTGGAGTAGGATGATTTGGTTACTCAACATTTGACGTTAACTTCTATTGATCCATAATATATAGGGTGTCCCAAAAACATGGGAATTCAGTGACGAATTGGATATCGTCTTTGTTATGAATTAGCATTGTAAAACCTAATTTCAAAAGCCATAATATTATTATGTCTGCTAGAGTTTATTTAATGAAAAGGGTAAAAGACTGCAAAGATGTGTCTATAATGTCTCCGCAAGATGAACAGTGAATACGGACAAGTTTACTCTGTTTGTATACTGCAATTTCTTTGTTTTACTAAGTACAACCGTATGCAGTCAAAACATAAACAAACAAAATGTGAACATACCAGACGAAACTCTTACAGATTACAGCTTTCTCAGTAGGTATCACTATACTAAATCAAGGAATTATTTAAAAAGACGATATCGAATTCGTCACTGAATTTCCATGTTTACTGGGACACCCTGTAGATAATTGGAACGCACGCCGTCGGAGACATCATCTAACCATTGTATCAGGTCAGAAAACCGTTTTCAGTCGGGTTTACAGGATTATCCACAAAAGATGAGACTTCAAAGCCGACTGAACATAACTAATTCAGTCTGTTTTCTTCCTTGCCAAATCTTCTAGGACTCCGTAAAAGACCTTTTTTGAACAGTTAACATTTAGATTTGTTGCTTCATAAAAGTTTCATTTTATGTGGGTAACCCAGCAATATAAGTAGACTCTCGAGTTGAGTTAACTATAGAGTTGAGTGAACTATAGAGTTGCGAAATGATCTCATTTTCTATTTAAATAGATATCTATATATAATTTAATATTCCAATATATACATTATATACATTAAACAAGGTTAAAGCTTCAATATATTTCTTTCAGAGTTTGATGAATAAGATTTTAGTTTGAGATAAAGGTATTTTTAATAAAATCTTGCTGTGGAAATTTATAACTTTGACAAATTATCAAGGGAAAAAAAACTTTTTCCCCGAAAAATGCACAAACACTTTCTTCCTGGTTCAATTTTGTACCATGGCTTTGTTTTATTATATTCCAGAAAAAAATCTGCAATTTGACAATGTATTACGCACATTATACAAAAATAATTTAAGAAAAAAAAATAAATAATTTCTTAAAATGTTTGAAAAACTGTTTCCTCGGCATTTGTTAAAATATCAAACCTCAGGAGAGGTAAGCTTTAAATATAATATATATATATATATATATATTTACAAGTAATATTTTCAGATTATGGAATATATGATTCTACGTTAAATATCTACGAAAAATGATTCCATCATTGGTTTCAAATACTTCACACCGGTAAATTTAACTTGGACTGGTGAGTGGTGATGCGCTTGAAAAAGAGGAAAAATAATTGTGAAACATTCTTTTTTGATTTTACTACTGACTGGGGAATATGTTTTTATGGATATATTAGAATTTAAGTAAAAATATAAAATAGGATATTTATTTAAATATCCCAATTTTCTCAAGATTTAAGATTTTAAAACACTTCTTTTGGATGAGTGTGCGGAGTGGAAATGATTGACAAAATACAAATTTTAAATTTCCTTGGTTTAGATTTAGATTTAGAAAATTAAATCGATTTTTAAAGGATATTAATTTTTTTAGAAACGTAATTTATTGTAATTTATGTAATTCGATCCGGAAATGCATTTTATTAAGAACAAAGAAAGATAACTCTCATGTCGGAAGCTCATGCATAAACTATAGGTTCGATTGCGTTAGTCAAGAAAATTTGGATGTAAGAAACCATATTCTATTTCCCCTGTCCAAATTTGTTAACAGTTCACTCCCTTTCAAGGTTGGATTACTGAACTACTTATTCCACAGTGTGAAGAACAAAATTTACTTCCGGTCAAATGTTCCAGGTATTTATTTCTCGTATTTAGCCAGCTTCAAGAGCAGAATATTTATTTCTCGTATTTAGCCAGCTTCAAGAGCAGAATATTTATTTCTCGTATTTAGCCAGCTTCAAGAGCAGAATCTTCTTCTCTGCAGCAACCCTTGAGTTCAAGAAGTACACGTCATCCAACTCCTAGAGTACAAATAATTTAAGCATTGTTGTGCAATTGACAATTGAAATCTAAGGAGTCCCAAAATACTTAGAATTCAGATAAATTAATGCAAGAATAAATATAAGAGTCCCATAGAAAATATTAAGTTACAAGAAGTTCCAAACAAACTAAAAATGGTGTCCCAAAGACATAAGAAATGGTGTCCCTAACAAACTAAAAATGGGTCCTCAACTATACTAAAAATGATGTTCCAAAGTCCAAACACATTATAATTGGTGTCCCTAACACCCTAATAATGGTGTTCCAAACAAACTAAAATTAGCATCCTAAAAAAATACTCAAAATGGTATCTCTAACACACTAGAAATGGTGTCCCCACAAACTAAAAATGGTATCCTAAACAACTTAAAAATTGAGTCCTTAACAACCTAAAAATGGTGTCCCGGACTAACTAAAATGGTGTCCCGGACTAACTGAAATTGTGTCCCGGACTAACTAAAATGGTGTCCCGGACTAACTAAAATGGTGTCCCGGACTAACTAAAATGGTGTCCAAAACACATACGCAGTTTTGTCCCCAACAGACTAAAAAAGGTGTCCCAGAAAGAAAAAAATGTTTAACATTACTTTTAACAATTTAATAATTGTTATACGTCAAAGTAGTTTGTAATTATAACATTTAACAAGTTAAAAAAAATGCTGTACAGAAAAAAGATGGATATTGATTGGACCAAAAAATGAAATAATAGAATTTCCCTTATATGGAGATGAGAAAGTTTAACGCATAACTTCGGAGAAATATAAAGTAGTCATAGAATGTCGTCTTGGCAATTTTTCTAATGGTTCAGAAATTATCAAAATAAAAAATTGCCATGGCATATGCAGGAACAGTTAAAGAGCACCATAAAATTATTCAGTTAAAAACCTAATTCTATTAACAGTATGTTTAGAAGACGACATTTTATAAATTCTTTCAATGGCTCCGAAGCTCTGGGTTCAAATGTATAAATATTGAAAAGTCTGATTAGTTGGTACCTTCTTGAGAAGCTTATTCTCCTTCTCCAGGTAAGCTGCTCTCAGAGCAATTTGATTTTCTTTCAGTCTTCGAGCCTCACGAGATCTGGACAAAATCATGATTAATCTTTTTTTAAAACAGTTGAAGAGACAATAATTTCAATTAGTAAGAAAAATGACGATATCTTCCTTTTTATTACTCAGATGAAAGTTTTTATGGCAAAATGAAGGAAAATACTTGATGTTTCGGGGGAAATAATTTCTTTTAAAAATATCAAATCACAACATTTTGTTTGTTACAGAATATATAATATAATTAAAGTTTTAAATCTTAGGAGACAGATGTGGATAAATCTAGAATAACAATTCACTTTAAAAAACGGCAGAAAATCCAAGAAAAAAAGTAAAGTCCCAACCCGGTTTTCTTGTAAATCCCGTGGATTTTCCAAGTACGTAACTTATTAGTATTAAATCAAACAAATTTAATTCAATTGAATAATAAGTAAACTTGAAAGTAATTATTGACTTTTAAAAAAAGCTGATGATTCCTCCAAATTTTATACATTATTGTGTTTTTTAATATCTTCGTAACCTTAAAATAAAAAAAATCGACCTACACATTACTTTATCTTACCTACGAGCAGCAATATTATTCTTGATTCTGTTTTCCCAATATTTATCATCCTGTAAATCAAACAAAATATCATTATTTACTTTAATTAGAAAAAGAGTTATAAAAAGGTAAAAGTAGTTGAACTACATAGACTAGATCACCCATTTTATTTGAACTTAAACCAGCACACAAGAGAAATAGTTAAACTTAATCCATATAGTATATTGAGATATAAAAGATTGAAAATATAGCAAAATATGCTGACTTCAGCAGCGCTTTTAAGCAGTGCTTAGGATCCGGATCCGTTGGATCCGCAAAATTTTGGCTTTCTGGATCCGGATCCGCAAAAATATGCGGATCCACGGATCCGGATCCAAGGGGTAAATTATCAACCAAAAACTGCAAAAAAACTTTTTTACTCCTAAAACCCAAATCTGAACTTTTGAAAAAAGAGAGATTAAAAAAATTTCCTCATTTCTAAATTGGTTCATCAAGTTTTAGGATAAAAATATGCGAAAAAAATAAAATAAAAAATTTGAAAATTATTTTTTGTTAAACAAGATTCAGTTAATCCTAAAGAAATGACCTGGATCCGGATCCATTTTTTCCCAGCGCGGATCCAGGCTCCGGATCCGGATCCGCATCAAAATTAAATGGATCCTAAGCACTGCTTTTAAGAAAAATATTATCCGCCTGGATAAATATTCTCGGCTGAAAATGTTTAAATGCGATTTTATCAATCTAACCTTCGCTTCGTCGGGTACAAATGATTTCTGACGTTTCCTAATAATAGGTTGGGGCCTCAACTCCTCCATATCAAATGCACGCTCCTGAAATTATGAAGAGTTATTTTTAATGGAATCATTAAGGAAATTATTATTTGTTCCTTAGCACTAGATCGTCAAATCAAATCGAATCGAATCGAATCGAATCAAATCAAATTAACTCATCAACTTAATTGAAATCAAATTACAGGGATTGCTTGCGGTATTCTTCTTTTAGGCCTGAGTTTCAATTCTTTCCCAATTCCTGAATTTTCGGTACAATCTATATTTCCATTTGAAGTTTGAGTCGAATTTACGCGTCTTTTCTGTATATTTGCTGTACGGAGTGAAGTTTCTTTTAAAAGATCTCAGCTGCTTAACCAAATTTGAGCCATGCCACCATTTTAAAATGCTCTTCATTTACTAGTACTAAACAGTGTACATTTAAATGTACAAGGCCTGTTGAACAAAATATGAATAACCAATTAAACCTACCATAGTTCCGATGGTTTAGTAACGATAATAAATGAATGAAAGGATAATTGAATAAATGAATAAATGAATAAAGAATAAATGAATAAATGAATAAATGAATAAATGAATAAATGAATAAAAGAATAAAAGAATAAATGAATAAATGAATAAATGAATAAATGAATAAATGAATAAATGAATAAATGAATAAATGAATAAATGAATAAATGAATAAATGAATAAATGAATAAATGAATAAATGAATAAATGAATAAATGAATAAATGAATAAATGAATAAATGAATAAGAAATCAATGAAAAAATAAAAGGATAAAAGAGTAAATAAAAAAATTAATAAAGAAACGAAAAGATGAATGATTATAAGTATGAAAAATGAGAGGATGAATAAGTAAATTAATGAAAAAATGAGAGTATGGAAAAGTAAACTATACAAATAGATTAATATATCAATGAATAACTAAAGAAACATTTAATATAAAAACCAACCCTAGGATTAAAGTTGACTCCTGGAATGGTAGCCAGCGCTAAATCCTCGGCGGGAAAATCCATTTCCACCTCTAGCTTTCTTTTCCTCTCCTCCTGAGCATAAAACATATATTCAATTACAATATATTTTTATTGCACTTTGCAGCCTATGAACTGATTTAGAACGTAACATTCGTGGATTTTTTACAAATCTGATTCCACTCAACTTTCCCGTTTAAATTCTGTTAAAGATTAATTGACATGTTTATGGATATTTTTACCTTCTCCCTCTCCATCTTTGCTCTTTTGGATTCTGCATACAGGAAACCGTTGTCCCCCTTGGGCAGAGCAGGTTTTTTATCCTCTTTGGAAACTGAAAATTATAAAAAATATTTTTGTCCCAAGTTTAGGGGTATTTAAAATTTATAGTTTTATTCCCCCCTCCCCCCCTTCTCAGGGAGGGCAGAATTAATTATTTTGAGAGTTTAAAAATAAATGGCAAAATTTTATTTGTTTAAACCAAAAATACACAACGTTCTCCTAAAATCATTCTAAGCAAATAAACCTGAAGATGTGGAAAGTGGGAGTTTTTAAAACCGAATTTGTAACCTTGTAACGGTAAAATAAAAATATAACAACAGATTTGAAACTCGTCGAAAAATTGTCGTTAAAGAAAAATAAAAGTACTGTTTTGCGAAAGATCAGAAAAAAAATTTAACAAACCAATGCCTTTTTGACACTAAATCTACAACTAATGTGATAGAAAAATATTTTGCATTATCTTTGATAAAGAATCAATTTTTGGAAGATTTAACTATTTATTTTTTACATTTATTAATATAGTGAATAATAGCCAATTGTAAATAAACTTTTTGAATTAACATCAAAGGATAACCTAGAGAGAAAAAAAAACCTCGTAAATTACACTGACCTTGTTTTTTCACAATAACCCCACATGATTTGAGAACTGGTTTCATATCGATGGCCTCCGTGTCATCCAGCATCTTGGATTCTGTTTCCATATCCTCCAGGGTCCGCCACAGAGAGTCAGACGCCAAGGCAACCTTGATCATGAGGTGACAACATATACATGAGGTGACAACATATGCATGAGTTGAGAACATATACATGAGTTGACAACATATACATGAGCTGACAACATGTACATGGGTTAACAACATATACATGAGTTGACAACATATACATGAGTTGACAACATATACATGAGTTGACAACATATACATGAGTTGACAACATATATATGAGTTGACAACATATACATGAGTTGACAACATATATATGAGTTGACAACATATACATGAGTTGACAACATATACATGAGTTGACAACATATACATGAGTTGACAACATATACATGAGTTGACAACATATACATGAGTTTACAACATATATCTAAGTTGACAACATATACATGAGGTGACAACATATATCTAAGTTGACAACATATACATGAGGTGACAACATTTACATGAGGTGACAACATATACATGAGGTGACAACATATACATGAGGTGACAACATATACATGAGGTGACAACATATGCATGAGGTGACAACATATACTTGAGGTGACAACATATACATGAGGTGACAACATATGCATGAAGTGACAACATATACATGAGGTGACAACATATCCATGAGGTGAGAACATATCCATGAGGTGACTACATATCCATGAGGTGACAACATATATATGAGGTGACTACATATACATGAGGTGACTACATATACATGAGGTGATTACATATAAATGAGGTGACTACATATACAGGAGGTGTTCTAGGAAACAGGGGTATATTTTTTCAATAGATAAATATTCCTAGTTAAAAGATCTTTATAGCTTGAAAATGTAATTTACAAGAGAATAAATGTTGAACGAGAGACAACGACAATATGGTTTTCACAAATCCGTCTAAACCCATTTCGTGATAATTCGTCGCCATTTTAGTAATATTCATTTAAATTGTACCTCTAATGGCTCATCAGTGTCGCTATTGCTTCTCTCCTGATCAAGGGTTATGTTATTTTCAGCAAGGAAATCCTAAAATAAGTTTGAATCTGTGAATCTAGGAATGAATAATGTATCAAGGGAAGACCAATGGATTTAGAAATCAATGAATCAAGACAAAAATACATCAATTTATCACTAAATCAGTGAAACATTAAATCAATGAAATAATGAAACAATTTAAAAAAAGAATCAATAAATCAATAAACCAAAGAATCAATGAATCTGAAAATCAGTGAATCAATGATCCAATCAATTAATTCAATGCATCAATGAAACAATGAATAAATGAATCAATGATGAATAAATAGGCGAATAAAAGGATCGAAAAATTAATAAATTAATTAAACAATGAATAATAAATCAAGAAATTATGAATCACTGAATGAATAAATGAACCAATCTCAAGAATTAATGTTATGAATCAGTTGACCAATAAATCAATTTATGAATCAATGCATCAATTACCAAAGAACCAATGAACCTATGAACCTATGAACCTATGAACCTATGAATCAATGAATCAATGAATCAACGAATCAACGAATCAAAGAATCAATGAATGAATCAATCAATCAATCAATCAATAAGCCATTAAATCAATGAACCAATGAATCAATTAAAAAATGAATCTATGAATCAATCCAAAATCCAAACAATGATGAGAAAATACGTAAAGGCACTGATGGATATATATATAAATAAATCAATCAATCAATCTCAAGAATTAAGGAATCAATGAATTTATTAAAACTAATTAAAAAAAACAACAAAAAACTATGAAAAAGGTAAAAATTACTATTTTAATCAAGAATTGCTGAATATCTGAAGTAAGTTAACTGACCTCCATGTTCATGACCTCGTTTTCCTTGATATCCTCGAAGTCAAGGTCGAGAGTTATCTGTTTATCCCAGAGTTTAGGACCCAGGTAGGCAGAGGTTGGATCAGAAACCTGGAGAAACATTTTTTATATATAAAACTCGGAATTTGAATAAATGACAATAGTATTATTGGTAAATGATTTATTTTGTTAAATAAAGGATTAAGCTTTCGTCAATTGTGAATATCTTTTAACGAATAGATGATAATAAATAAGCTTTTCTTGGATAAAGATTAAAAAATTCAAGGATGCATAAAATTTACCTTGATGACAGTTTTTCCCTCCCTATTCTTCTCCATATTTTTGTTCAGCGCCTTAAAATGTAAAATTTAAATATTTTCAAAGTTGAATAATTTGTTAACTATTGATCAAATTATGTAGAGTAGACTTAACAGTGGCCCTCTATTTATTAAGGGGGTATGCCGATCCACATTAGTACTTCCTCCCATTTTCCCCTGCCGAGCGTTTTTCATCGCTGTCTATCCCCCCCNACCTCTCCAGTATTCTGCTCCTTAGTGCTGTCCTCCACCGCTACATTGAATAGGTCGACCTTCTCCAGGAGATCCCTGATACTCATCCTTGGACCAGTCCAGCTCATCCCATCCATACCTAGATACAGAATATATATATACTCAATACTCATCCTTGGACCAGTCCAGCTCATCCTATCCATACCTAGATACAGAATGCATATACTATACTCATCCTTGGCCCAGTCCAGCTCATCCCATCCATGCCTAGATACAGAATATATATACTCAATACTCATCCTTGGCCCAGTCCAGCTCATCCTATCCATACCTAGATACAGAATATATATACTCAATACTCATCCTTGGACCAGTCCACCTCATCCCATCCCTAGATACAGAATATATATACTATACTCATCCTTGGACCAATCCAGCTCATCCCATCCATACCTAGATACAGAATATATATACTCAATACTCATCCTTGGACCAGTCCAGCTCATCCCATCCCTAGATACAGAATATATATACTATACTCATCCTTGGACCAGTCCAGCTCATCCCATCCATACCTAGATACAGAATATATATACTCAATACTCATCCTTGGACCAGTCCAGCTCATCCCATCCNTCAATTTGGTTTATATAGGTGAGCAAGATACAATATATATATATACTCAATACTCATCCTCGGATCAGTCCAGCTCATCTTATCCATACCGTCCATACAGGATATGTAGTATGTTCAGATCTTAAATAAATCTAATATGGAAATGACATAATTTAGAAGTACAACTGTATTTTTCATTGCCCATACCCTTTTTTCCATTAAAAAGGCATCTAATTGTTTTGACATTGACTATACTTTAGAATTTAGAATCATTTAGAATATTTGACTTTAAATCTGAAACATCTGAAGGATCTGCACATTTAAATTATTTTCTCACAAATTTAAAAGATATTCCATCTAAAAATCATACTTTAAAACAAAAAAAAACTAAAGTAGCAACTCATTATTTAGGGAGTGAATAGTTCAGGGGTAAATTACCTCCAAGATTCTGGGGGCCGGTAATTACCCCCAGGATTCAAGGGGGTTGGGGTAATTACCCCTTGGATTCTAGGGGGGGGGGGAATAACCCCAATGGCCCCCCTTATTTACGCCACTGAATAAATCTTAAGATTGTAAATTGTGATTCGAAAACGTCTGAATAGTTGTCACGAGTTCACGACTGATCAATTTACCTTTAAAGATTTATAGATCCCTTTCTAAAACTTTTAACAACTGCTGTTACTAGCTAGATTCTAGATGTCTCTGTCAGTGTCGCAGGTCAGGCTATATGATACTAACACTACACTTGTCTCCGTCTAATACCGACCCGCCATGGAGGATAAATTGCGTAAAAGAAACCCTTACGTAAATATGGATGACTTCAAAGACGACATTGATATTATAAAAGTCAAGAAGTAAAAAAAGAAATATATTTCAAGACGACATTTTGAACTGTCTTGTTGCAGACGTGTCTGCTAGCAGACCACTTGTTTATATCAATCAGCTGTTTAGGAAACAAGTGGAGGCGTTTTTAAACTTTAAAGTTCATAAATTCTGTTTTTTATCTTTCTTTTCAATTGGGCGGTTTTACGGACTCTATACTATAGTTTACTGTAATATTTTATTAATTATAAAATGTGTTGATTTAGTGTGTTATAACAGATTTACGGACTATTGTTGGATTATTGTTTTTGCAAATATAAAAAATATTATTTTGCGCAAGATCCTGTTCTTATAATCTATAAGAATAGGAAAGATAGCCACAGGATCATTTTTAGTGTTTTTATTTAAATCATTTATCCTTAAAGTAATATTTATAAACTTCTTGTTAAATAGGTTTAACCCATATAAATAGCCACAGGCTGGCATTTTTTATGTTGAAATTAATTCTACTGATTAAAAACAACAACAAAGAGCAAATAATTTTAGTAGACGATTTAAAAAAGAAAAAAAATGGAGTCAAGAAAGCAACCTTTACAAACTAATATTATAAAAGAGAGAAGGGGGCGAAGCGTCGAAAGACTATAAATTAACTTTCAGATTTATGATGTTAGCAGCAGAGAGTTACGACGGCAAAGATGAGAGATTGGAAGAGTTCTTGACTGAGTTTAGAGAGGTCCATGGAGCGCCAGAGTTTTTAATAAGAGTTCCTGGCAGAGTCAATCTAATAGGTGATCAAATTTATAGCTCTTCATGAGACAAAAATATAGAATCTAGAATATAGTGTTGTATTTATTTTGTTTATATAGGTGAGCATATTGACTACTGTTTAGAATAAGGGTTGTATCCATTTTGTTTATATAGGTGAGCATATTGACTACTGTTTAGAATAAGGGTTGTATCCATTTTGTTTATATAGGTGATCATATTGACTACTGTTTAGAATAAGGGTTGTGTCCATTTTGATTATATAGGTGAGCATATTGACTACTGTTTAGAATAAGGGTTGTATCAATTTGGTTTATATAGGTGAGCATATTGACTACTGTGGATACGCTGTACACCCTATGGCAATTGAACAGGTAAACATTACTACATAGATCTTATACCCGTTGGGTGGGGAGCAGCCCCTATCCTACTTATCATGAATTTAACAAGTTCACGATACTAAATTCTGTAAACATCCTTGCTCTCCTCCCCCCCCCCCTCTCATCTTGCAATTTTAAACCAGTTCTTTAATAATTCGTTTGGTTATTGAAAACCTTATTAAATCATTTCACAAGAAAATACTTAATTTCTTTGATGGGTTAACATCAAGTTGACCAATACTCTTAAACCTGGACTCAGGGGCGCCTTACAATATTTTCATAGGGGGGAGAACAATTGAATAATTCATTATCCCCCACCTGCCAAAAAAAAATCCACCCCCTGGACATTTTTACAGGGAATTTTGTCATTTTTATGTCAAAACCATGACATGAAGGGTAAATATTTGTTACCAAGATTTAGATTTTTATAAAAAATCTTCTTTTTGAGAAATTTAGTGAATCTATTTTAAAAAATCAAAATTAAATTTCTTAAAGGTGCCTTCTTGTGCTCTCTCTTCTTGCACTCCTAGTTTTTCCGGGGGGGGGGGCCTCCTTCCCTTCCCCTCCCTCCTGAAGCCGCCTCTGACTTTTCTATCAATTTAATATTAACTTATGAGTTTCTATTCACTAGATATTATCCTTTAAAAGATAAAGTATTTAAGATTAGTGGGCCGCATTAGGGTTACATGTTTAGGGTAACTTGAACAAATTCTGAATTTAAAACTTTTAAACGCGGACAGAGAGAGCGGTCAAATCTCCCAAGTTTTAGATTATCTGGGATCAATCCCGTGAGATTGAGAAGAAGTTCAACTAATGTTGTTAATTCAAAACTTCCCAGCTCTGGTTTATGATTGATTAACTGATCTAGGATGTACTGGTTTGCTTGAAGAGAACCGAGAGTGGTCTAGAACTATTCAACAAGAATGATTCTCTATATCCTAGCTTCAAGTTTGTCATTTTAAAGGGACTGTTTACTTATTTGGGTAATTTCAGGATAAAATAAATTTCCTATTAGCTATTCATTGGAATTAGTCTTACTGTTGCCGGAGAAAAAGCCGGTTTTTTTATGAAATAGACTATATTTAGTTTACCCTATAATTGCTCAAATAAGTGAACGGTCACTTTAAGAAATCTAATTTTTTTTTATTTAAAAGCCGGAAGGATAGCATTCCTAATCATGCGATCTTTCTAATATTTTGAAACAGTTGGCCTAAACTTAATGTCTTTTTTTGTAAAAACTATTTTTAAACGAGTACAGAAAATTGCTCATTGATTGATTGATTATTTGATAGATTTATGAATAAAATGAATGAACTATTTCTAGGTTGGACATTTTTGAGAATCTTGAGATAAGTACGGATAAAATCCAGTGGTGGTCTTATTTTCTCTGTGGACTCAAGGTACAGGGTTACCCACCAGGGGCCTATTCAGGAATCTGTCCAGGGGGGGGGGCTTAAATTTTTTTTTTCCGGGGGGGGGCTCAGCACCCGTTGGGGCATAAAAAACCCTGAAATCAATAGATTTCACTGGTCCAAGGGGGGGGGCTTAGCCACAATAGCCCCACCCCCATGAATACGTCTCTGTTATCCACACATAGTTCTGGGCAATAACTTGTTTCCTTTTCATCAAATTTTCAAAGAATGGGACTTGTAACAGACCCGTCCTATAAAAAGTAGCCAAAAAAGGTAGATTTTTGCCCATTTGTTGATATTTAGTATTTACGGTTATAAAGTTCTTTATTTTAGTGTTTAAAGCATATATTTTGATTTTTGATACCTTATTTTAATATTTATATTTTTTTTCTGTCTAAAGTGATAACCAGAAAACTCTGGAATGTCGACTTTTAGACTGAAGTTACGACTTTAAATAGTCCAATTAATGTGAGTCACAGCAATTTTCCAGTGAAAACAGACCCATTTCACTTAATAAGTAATTTAATAATTGACTGGTAAAGCTTTTTGCTTCGTAGCAACATCAAATGCACTTTAGTATTGTTTTTATGTCGTCTTCCTATTCTGGTTATTACTGTATACCATCATGGGATTTTTTTATTAATCTAGGGCGTTCTGGAGGAGAAAAAAATATCAAAGCCTGCTGGTTTAAAGGTAGGATACAGTTTTCATTAGTATACATTCTTTGAAACAAAAGAAAACTAAATCTGGAAATTTTATTCTTTTAAATACTAGGCTTTTAAGGCGCTCTGCGACCTTTCTCTAGTAGAAATAATATCTTTTAACTGTGTGTTTCAAGCCAACATTTTTTTCTCGTATTTCAATAAACATAGATATCCTCAGTTTTTTCTGTTCAAATTGGTGGATTTTCAAAAATCCTAATTATCGACTTTAGGAACATTATGTCAAATTTATAAACTGCAATTTGTACATTAAAATTGTTGAACATGAAATTGCACAAATTGTACACTGACCGTACATTAATTGTACTCTGGCTGTACGTTAATTGTACACTGATTGTAAAGTCACTGACAACAAATTGTACACTAATTGTACATTGGCTGTACGATAATTGCACACTGACTGTAATTAAATTGACCGTATACTAATTGTACACTGATTATTGTACAATGTACACTAATTGTGCACTGACTGTACACGTACACTGACTATACAATAATTGTACATTTATTGTACACTAATAGCACAGTGACTGTACACTATATGTAAACTGTTACAGGTTTATATATCTGGGCGTATACCGCCATCAGCTGGTCTCTCTAGCTCCAGCGCGCTCGTGGTTAGCGCGGCTATAACTGCGCTCAGGTTTGATAGTTTCATAAATTCAATTATATTGTTTTCGTTTCCCTATTTTCCTTAAAAACTTCTTTCGATTAATTAAAGGAACGGTCATTGTAATTTCAATTGACCGTTTATATAAAGAATAGCGTGTTTGATTCACAACGATACAAACCATTTCTCTGATCAATGTGGAAGAAGTTTTTTTTCTGACGTAAAAAGTGTAAAATCTTCACAATTTCCCCCCTTATTTCTTCAAGCAGAAATCCGTTTTAAGTTCCTGTTATAGATAACCCACAATGTTCTAAGAGAATACGATATGCCAACTGATTAATGGAGGATCACGTAAAATTACAGCTACAGTCCCTTTTTTTTTTTGATTGATTGATTTTATTCAGTGGTAATGGAATAACAATGAATAAAACTGAGCTGGCTTCCCTCTGTGCACGGGCTGAGCGGTTTATTGGAACCCAGGTTAATACAATTATTGTTTATCCCCTTTCTCAATTTTTTAGTCTACATGTCAAGTTGAGAACAAACACACAGTGATCCAAAGGTTGCAAACGCACACGCAAAACTGATAAGAATTTTGCCTATTAATTAAAAAAAATAAAGCTAGAAACTTCTTTTTAGTTCTAAAAAATAAGTTAGAAAGTGAGTTAAAATCAAAGGCGTTGCCACAGCTTAAAAAATTTATGCAACTTTTCATATTGGTCTGAATCTATCTGGGCACGTTCCAACTTTTTCTAGCCGTTTCGTTAAGGGTTAGCTCCATCCGTTAAAAAATGAAAATTTCAGTTAACCGTTAATTTTAAAGGTAACAATGAAATGTTCGTTCCGTTAACGGCATTTTCCGTTTTTTAAATTATCGTTAGTGAACAATCTCAATTTTATTAATGGCATTAACGGACAATTTTCAAAAATCGGTAACGACTCGAGCCATTAATGGTACTGTTATTAAAAAATTAACGGCGTTAACTGTGCAATGTGAAAAAAATTGTTAACGGTTAAAAAATCATTAAAGGCACAGCCGTTTAGGATATATTACAATATTAACTATATCACAGTATTAACGGCGTTAATGGCAAAAAGAATTTTGTTAACGGTTCATAAACATCAAAAACGGTTAATCGTTTGATTAATGATTTAAGAATTAACGGTTTTTGCCGTTCGTTAATTCGGACTCTTCCGTCAATTTTCGAAAACCTCCATTTCTTTAACGGAATTTTGCCCAGCCCCAGTGAACAATATGCAATATGCATGACAATTCTTTATTCATGTAAATTGTACAGGGTTACCCACAAAAATTAAATCAAGTTAAATGCCTCGTAAAAACCCTTTTAATGGCTTTTTTATTGATTTTACAAAGAAAGAACAAACTCACTGCTGCAAGGAATTATGGATGTAAAGAAACGGACATAAAAAACTCCGAACAGTTGTTTCTGAAGTCTCATCCTTTGTGGGTAACCCTGTACAATGTACAAAATTTCAAGCGGTTTTGATAAATGTAACTTAAATTTAGCAAAAATGTAGAAAAATAAAGGAACATATTTTTTACATTTTTTTACGAGCTGTAGTGGTATAAAAGTTATATTAAACTCGAAGGGTTTACTTTAAAAATGTTGTGGACTCGGAGGTCAAAATAATTTTGATTCCCTACATGGTTAGTATATTTTCAAGAATTAAATGACTTTTGATCTGGGGTAAAAACGGACATAAATGGTAAATTTTTAATTCTTTTAAATACTTTTACCCCAAAAATTCATTAATTTTTACTTTAAAGCATTAATTTTTCCAAATTCAGTGCACGAAAACAACAAACAGAACTTTTGGGGAAAATAAATATTTTTTAAAAAGGGAGGAAATGATTTTTCGAGAAAATATAAATCCTTCACTCCTATACTCAGCTTCATGAGGTTTGATTTAAGTCATCACACCCCTTTATATTCCTCAACTAACTGCTGGTGATTATTTTGCATATTTTCGGAATGAAACTTAACCTTTACCCTACTAACCCGAAAACCTAAAAATACCAAAGTCTCTATATAGGTATACGTATTAATAGGTATTTTTACGTATAAATTCGTATGCTGAACTTTTGGGTAAAGAACTTACGTATATTTACGTATTTTTACGTATTTATCATACAAAGCAATTTTTTTAAATGCTTTGGTTTTCCAGAAACGTATTTATACGAAAAATTACGTAAACTTTTTACCAAGTAATTTTTCTTAATTTTTAGGTTTTTATTTTACGTATTTTTACATATTTTATAGGTTTTTTCTTTACTTAAAAAATTGTAATTTTTTTCGAGTTTAAAAGTTTGATGCAAACCTAAAAATACGTATAATACGTAAAACGTATATACTTTATAACTTCACGGTAATATATTGAGTTCAAACTTCATTCCATACAGATAAGCGCAATTTTAACCAAAAGGTTCAGCCTCAGTCTTATTAATCTGGACAATACTAGTTGAATAGGGGGGACTTATCATACCAAACAAATCTGTAGTGAGCTTTTTATTTTTATAATCATATTAATGTTTTTAGGGCGGAGGAATGGATCAAGCTATTGAAATACTTGCAAAGGCCGGTCAAGCCAAGCTGATTGAGTTCAACCCGTTACAGGTAGTGATGTGCATTCCATTGGTTCATTTTTGGGTCGTTTTTGTCCATATTTTTTTTCCTTTCATTTTTTCATTCGGTAAAGTAGCACTTAATGGCTTCACACAGACACAACTAGGGAGGGGTGTTGACTCCGGGGAAATCAGCTGATTCAGAGATAATCATGCATTCTTTGGGGTTGGGATGGGGGGGG